AGAGAGGGACTAGGGGCACAGTCAGCAGCAAGGTCAGCAGCAGCAGCAGCAGCATCCCTTCCCGGGCCCTCCCCAGCCAGACTTGGCCCGGGAGAACCCTCCCTCCTTGCACCTCTGCCCCCTTCTGCAGGCTCTTCTCCCCCTCCCCCCCGCGGGGCCTTTTGCTTTCTTTGCAGAGACCCCGAGAGAGGCACTGGGCCCCTGGAGGAGGGAGACCCTTTCCCTTCTTCTTTCCCTCCCTCCCTCCCTAGAATGGGGCCAGAACAAACAGTCGCCCCCCCCACCTGGCCAGGCCCCTTTGCTTGCGGGCAGAACCACCCTCGATCTGTCCTCACCCTCTCTTTTTTTTAATGCTCAGAGGGCGGCACACCTTCCATGCAGGTGGTCCGGATCGCAAGAGAGGCCCAGGAGGGCCGCAGAACTGGCGCCGATGCAGGGAAGGGAGTAGGCGAGAGAGATCCGGCCCCATCTTTGGGCAGAGCGAGGCAGCGGCCTCAGGGGCCAGGGCTGAGGACAGAGCCATGTGTGCTTAGCAGCCACCCCTAAGGTAACTATTTAAAAAGGATGCAACCCTCACCGCAACTCTGTGTGTGTGTGTGTGTGTGTGTGTGCATCACTCAAGGATTCCAGGAAGGCCCACCTCTGGTCCAGCTGCTTCCGCACGTGAAATTGGGATGGAGTGGGGGTGGGGAGAGCCGGATAGTTCTGGCTCCTTAAGCTGGTGGGAAAGAATGAGGACATCTGGCGGGGGGGGGAGAGAGAGAGAAGGAACAGCCCACCCCTCCCTGGCCTTTGCTTCCTTCTGTGTTTCTCAAGAGCCAGTAGCTGAAATGTTTCGGAACAGCCAGCCCCTCACCCAGCCTCAAAGACTCTGAGATCAAATGGAGCCATTGCCACGAGTGGGGTGGGCTCTCCCACGAGAGAGAGAACACAAACGCCACGTAAGAGACGAACGGAGCATCAAATATCTGCCTTGCAGGTGCACCCAATGAAGTAAAGGACCCCCCACGAAAACCAGCTGCTCGGCTCAGGCCATTGGTGAGGTGGAGACGCCTTTGTCTTGGGCTGAGAAGCAAGAGGGCAGAGGGGCCAGGCAAGCAGCCTGGGGGGGGAGGGCCCCAGGCCTGTGGGATACCACGGAACGTGGCCATTCCTCCCTCTCCCCCCCCACGGCATCCTCAGTGGCGCTCAGCGCCTCCATCCTGTGTGAGCAAGAGGGAGGGGCTGATCCAGCACCCAGTTTGGCAGAGGTTCTCAGGCGGGGAAGAGCCCAGGTGGGGGGGGCAATGGCAGTTCCCCTTGGGTACCCCTTGTACCACTTCATGAGGCTCTATAACTCTCCTGCGCCATCGAAACAGCACATGGGGGGGGTTTGCCACCTCTGGGTCACAAAAGCATTTCCCACCGGCCTCAAAGGGTGATCACCAAGACTGGAGAGAAACCAGGGCTCGGCTCTCTTTCCAGCGGGAGGGGGGGTCAGCCCCGGGAGAGATGACCCAGTTTCAAAGGAGGGCACGACTGAGCATGTGCCACACAAACGGGGCTTCCCACTGGGCAATGAGCCACCCGTGCCCACCGTGGTGCCACAGAAGGGGGAGGCGGAAAGCCTGTGGCACCGCCGGGCACTTTGCTTAGCCGAAGAGGAGGGTAAAGGGTCAAGGGAGGGCCGCTGGGCTGCCCGAGCCCCTCAGCCACGCTGCCCATCCTTCTCCAGCCAGGCATGGGGGGAAAGGACACGTAGAAAGGGCTGCCGTGGGCAGGGTGGGGGTGGCGTGGGGGCTGCCCAGACACCCCAAAGAGGTCAAAATGCAGGAGGAGCAGAGCAGCAGCAGCAGAAGTTACATCCCGGAAACAGGACGCTTGAGACAGCGTTCCCTGTTCCGTGTGGAGCAAAACCCTCCCTTCCAAGCCACGGCAGGAGCACAGCTAGCAAAAAAGACCAGCTGCCGTCTTGGACCGGTGAACTCCACCACCACAGACCCAGCGACACTTCTCCATGTCTGCTATTTCTCGGGCAGGACGGGGGGGGGGGGCAAGGGAAGCCCCGCCTGCTTGTGTTTTTCTTCCCCCTCCCTTTCCCCATCGCTCTCCCCCCCCCACACGCACACACACACGACCCCACTCCTGATTCTGCCTTTTGCAACACCACGCTTAAAGAAGGGGAGCGGCAGATCCCAAGGGCTTGCACACAACTTGGTACAGTACCTTAAAAAGGAAGTTGGACTAACCATGGTGCTTCTCACCCTGCTATGGGGCTTCTTCAGGCGTGTGGGGCTTGGGCAAGGGGCAGGGAGAGAAGATCGCCTTCACCTCCCAGCACGGAGCCAACGCCAGACGGCCCAGGACCTCATTAGCTCCTACTTGCCAGGGTTTCTGAGGTGACCCATCGCTATCGGCAGTTGCAGTGTTGAAATCGCAACTCATTCTGTCACTGGCTTTACTTCTTACTGCATTTTTCCCCTTTTTCCTTTTTTTTAAATAGCTTCATTTTAAAAATGGTATACAATGGGGAAAATTATGTTAACATTTCTCTAAAAATGCACCAATGTGTCCTTTTAAAGTAACTTCTGGAAATAACTTGACCAATTTTCTCAGTACACCAATAGAATAACCACTGGCTTGTTCAGCGTTTTACTTTTGAAATGTAACTCAGCTGCAGTTACCAGAAATGTAACTAGTTACAGGTAACTCCATGAGGACTCATGACTTCCGAGCTCTAGGTACGAGAAGCCAAGCATTCAGGCCACCCAAACGCCACTGGGCCTTGACGGCCAGAAGGGTCCCGTGTGGGAACAGGAGTCAGGTTGCAGGGTAAGAGGCAAGCCAGACGGTGTGCCGAAAAAGGAACGGGCGCATTCCCTCTCCCTGCCAGCCACGCCCGCATTTTAAGAGAGACAAGTGGAATCTGGCAGGGGAAAAAAAATATCCTGTTCCAGATTATGGCTTAACTTTTTGGAATTGGGGAGAAAGCAATTCCACTCCTTGCTCTGTTCGTGTGCTGCCGGTTACACAGAAAGAGGCATTTTGGAAGTCACCCATTTTTCATCGTAATCACGTGCCTTCAACTCATTTCTGACTTATGGCAACCTCTTTTTTTTCCCAGGGTTTCCTAGACAGAGCATTCTGAGAAGTGGTTTCCCACCCCCCTTCTTCTTCTGGGGGTGCCTTGGGACTACCCTGCAGCTTGCCCCAGGCCACCCAGGCTGGCTCCCAACCTCTGGCTCCACAGCCAAAGACCGAAGCCACCGAATGATCCGGCCAGCTGCTCATTCATAGGGTTGCCATAAGTCAGAGGTGTCTTGATGGCACATGGCAGCCACAAACAGGTGACACCACCCTATGGGGTGCAATGCGGCCCCTGCGGTCTTCCCTTGATTTCTTAATTGTGCTGTAATCTGTGGAGTTTGTGGCCTGCGGGCGGGGTCCCTCTGCACGTCCTCCCAAAGCTGCCACCTGTCTGGCACCGAAACACCCCCACCCCCACATTTCCTTCATTTGCAATTGCTTTTGT